GAGAAAAGCAGCCCCAAGTCTCGCTGCAGCTCGGGCCTCTGGCAGGGGGACGTGGGAGCGTTTGACCCGAACCTCGGGGGCCGCTCGCGAATGGCGCTCGGCTGATAGGCCTTTTGCCACCCCGAGACTGCGAATCCTTCACCTCTTTCGAGTCCGAACATAGAGCTGCTGGGCTGGGCTGAGATGCAGGTGGTCAATGCCACCTGCTTCTGGGACACTAAGGGTGAGATCCTGGCACCACGGAGTAGCCATCCTGGCTCCAGTGTGTGTGGGGGGCGGGCGTGGCTTCATCACAGCCCGTGAACACCTGAATGGGAAACTGAAATCTGTTCACCAAGGGCTCTTGGCTCTGACAGACGAAGGCAAAGTGAGCGCCAAGGGCTGCAAGTGGGAGCTAGACGAGTTCTGACCGGAAAGAAGGCGCCCCGTTTTAACGAGGAGGGTTGCTAACCACTGGAATTAAGGCAGGGCAGTTCTCTGTCCTACGCTAGACAGGAGCGGCTGCAGCTCCTTAAAAGTGTGTGTGTGTGTGGGGGGTCCACTGGTGCCCAAGGTGTGGCCCCACCCCCGCGCTGCCCCCACTCCCTGAGCCCCACTCCTGCGCCACTTCTTCCTGCCCCCAAACCCCATCCCCTGCTCACTCCTTTCTGCTCCCGCCCCCCATCGCTGGTAAAAGGTGATGGGGCCATGGCCCCCCGGCGTCAGACTAGATGATCACAACGGTCCCTTCTGGCTTTGGAATCGACGAACGTTTTTCTGTTGAGTCCCGGGCTCGCGTTACGGGGACGGCTGAGAACGAGCCGTAGCTCGGGGTTACAACGGTCCCCTGTGTGGCGTGAGTCCAGAGGGCCTGCTCTGGGCTCCTGCACTTTCCCCATGTGGGCTTTTGTCTCTGGTCCTTTTACTGTTGTCCCCCCAGTAGCAGCTGGAAGCCCCACCGGCCTCGCACGCACCAACCCACCCTCCTGCCAGTCCTGTCCTGGTGGGGAACGTTAAAGTGGCCCCTGATTTTCGGCACTTCCGTTTTTGGGATACCACCTTGAAGCTTGGTATTTGGCTTCATACTACAGAGGGGCTGACCACCACCCTCCCCCTCACATCCCATGGTCTCAACTCAGCCCTTTGGGACATCAGGTCCTGCTAGCACTTCCTACTAAGGTGCTGTATTAGCCAGCCGTAGGGGAATGGGATCCGTCTCCACGCAAGACGTCCCGTCCACACACACCAGGCCGGGGAGTTTCACGACCGCGGGAGCGATTACCGCCGAGAATACGAGGTTTGCCAAACCACAGCCGCGTGAGCAAACCGTCCCGAAGGGTCACGCTTCTCCTCGTGCATTAGCCCTTAAATACCTATATGGGGTCTTTAATTACAGATCGAAAATCCCATTGATGGTCCCGCGCTCGCTATCACCCGCTCGTGCGCTGAGCAGAGCCCTGACCCTGTGCGTGTTAGCACACGGCAGGCTGGGTTACGGGACATAAATAGCTGTAATCCCCCTAACCGGGTGATTACACGGCACTTATTCTGCTATTATGAATTCATTAGCTGGTGATTTGCATCCCGGCGACGGCTGGGTAATGAGACCAGGAGCTGGCGGGCTTCGCTTCGTGCCGAGCCGAAGCCTTAACGATAATTGCGCTGCAATTTTAGGAAATGGAGGAAAAGAGCAAATTTGTGGAAGGCACTTTCCACGCATGCAGATGAGTCCAGTACCACGGCTACGCCCGCTGTCACCCATTGCCGGGTCTTCCACTGGGCTGTGTCTTCCCCTGTGTGCTTGGGGGCGGGGGGTTATTTGCATGTGTACAATTTGTGGGTGATTGCATGTTATTGAAAGGTGGTTCGTATGTACCAAGCTCACCGTTGCTGGGAAAGGAGTGGGAGCGCTGGCTTCCAGGGGCAGGGAAGGAGGCTAATGCATCTAATCGGCTTAGCCAGGCTTTTCCAGCTCTCCCAAGACTTATTCCAAGCTGTGCCACCCCAGGGCGGAAGGATCCAACGTGCCGTGGGTTTCCTCCTTCTTTCCTGCAGGTGCCCACGCCGGGGACAAGCAAAGCGTCGGCAGCGCCTCGAGAAACGGAGACGAAGCCGCTCTCCAAAGCCCGCCGCGCTCTCAACTGAACCGGAACCCTCTCGCCGTGTCGTGGAGAACTCTTCCCCCACCCGTGCTCTGTCTTGTCCCCGCTGCCCCATTCCGGCCCGTGCCTCGTCCTAAAGCTAGTGCTCACTGTTTGGAAATAGAGTAATGCCCCGGCCCCATGGTGCTTTCCCCTCCGCAGACACCCCGGGCAGCCAGCAGAACCCCCTTTGTGGCGTAGATTAAAAACAGCCTTGACTAGTCAATAACACCACGATTTTTACTTATGAGCTGCCCTGTCTCTCAGCTTCTTTGCCTGATGTTTCCTAGGACTCTGTTGTTTGCTGGAGCCCCAATCACGTGTCCAGGACGCTGCCGTGCTGGGCGCTGGACGGACACAGAAAGAAAAGCCAATCCCTGCCCCATGCTTCGGAACACACCTTTGCAGAGGGAAATGTTCTCCAGGTGGGAGCAGGGGTATTAAGGCTATAAAAGACCATCAATGCGGTTCAGGGTTCCTACGCCTTCCTCTCTAGTCTCTGGCGCTAGCCACTGTCAGAGACAGGATACTGGGTGAGATGGCCCACAGGTCTGACCCACCCCAGCAATGCTGCTCGGCACAGAGAGGTCAGGTGATTTGCCCAAGGTCCAGTGAACCTCAAACCTGCCCTTTCTCCCTTCTCTCATGCCGTTAGTAACTAGGCATCTTCCTAGCTTCTTGTGATGTTGCCCATCAATGTGGTATCCCAGCCTCGGAGGGAACAACTAAAAAACGCCCACCTGGTTACTATAGAGAGCTGGGCAGAACGTTTGCAATTAAACCGTTGTTTTTTTCTTGTCAAAATCTGCTGTCGAAACCGTTTGGCGGAGACATCTCTATTTTGACGGGAAGGTGGTGAGGGGCAGGGGGGACTCGCTGGTTACTTGCAGAAAGGGGCCCAGCTTCAAAACGTGACCTGGTCGATCCGAAAAGGGGCCTTTGGGGCCGGTTCCATTTTCAGAAAGCGTTTGGGGTTTGGAGCCAATGTGGAACCAACCCGATTTTGAAACCTCGAGAAAGTTGGTGTGAAACGGAATTGTCCTGCTCCACCCAGTTCTATTCCCACCCTTCCTCTGGCCAGATAGAAGGTGTTTTCTTTCAGGAAGGATTGTCCATTAACTCTGGCCGCTGAGGCCATCAGGGACAGTAGGAGACAGCGGGAGCAACCTCGTAAGACCTACAAGGTCTAGACAAGCTGAGTACAGCTCCTAACGTGCTGGCTGAGCCGCTGCGTGACGATTCAGTGACTTTTCTGGAACCGCGCGCCTGCAATTCTCCTTGGCTCAGCAAGAGCTCCTACCGCAGGAGCTTGGTCGTTTGCCTGGCCTGGTACAGAGACAAGGTGGGGGAAGCAATATGGGACTAACCTCGAGCCACACAGAGCTCTTCTCCAGGGCTGGGAAAAGTCCTCAGAGTGTCACAGCTAAGTGCAAGGTGGGACAGATTGTTAAGCATAAGCAGCTGACCCATATTGTGAGACGTCATTCCAAGGGGTGGGGGGTTACAGACTGTTGTAACGAGCCATCAATCCGACTCTACGGAGTCCGAACTTTTTAGAGTCTAGCCAAGTTATGAATTCTAGCTCCCAGTCCAGCGCACTAGGCCGTAGTCTTGATCTCAACCCTGTCTGATGTTTATACGTCCCCTTAGAATCATAGAATAGCAGGTTGGAAGGGACCTCAGGAGGTATCTAGTCCAACCCCCTGCTCAAAGCAGAACCAATCCCCAACTAAATCATCCCAGCCAGGGCTTTGTCAAGCCGGGCCTTAAACACCTCTAAGGAAGGCGATTCCACCACCTCCCTAGGGAACCCATTCCAGTGCTTCACCACCCTCCTAGTGAAAAAGTTTTTCCTAATATCCAACCTAAACCTCCCGCACTGCAACTTGGGACCATCGCTCTCCTTGTTCTGTCATCTGCTACCACTGAGAACAGTCTAGATCCCTCCTCTTTGGAACCCCCTTTCAGGTAGTTGAAAGCAGCTATCAAATCCCCCCTCATTCTTCTCTTCTGCAGACTAAACAATCCCAGTTCCCTCAGCCTCTCCTCATAAGTCATGTGCTCCAGCCCCCTAATCATTTTTGTTGCCCTCCGCTGGACTCTTTCCAATTTTTCCACATCCTTCTTGTAGCGTGGGGCCCAAAGTCAACTGGTATTCACCCGTAACACTTCCTGGATGTGTAAGCATTGTCCGGTTCAGGAAAGCCTTTAAGATGCATCTCCTGGAAGTTCACAAACTGCCTTTTTTCTCCCCACTTTGCTAACTTGCTGACTGAGCGGGACTCTGGCCCAGACCTTTCGGTTTAACTCCCCCACCCTTTCAAACTGTCCTTTCCCTCTAATCAGCTAAGAGGTGATCCTGGCAAGTTCAGAGCCAGGATGAATTTTATTAGCGGAGTGGCGAATAGAAATGGCCGCTGGCCATCGTTTAACTCCTTCGTTGCTGCAGCAGAACAGCTGTAATTAGGGTAAGAACAATGCCAAAGGTGTGATTCCTGCGACTTTTGCTCCCAAAGGGCGGGGAACGGAGTACAGAACTTGATCCGTCATCTTTACCTTGAGCACGGTTGTCAAGGAGCCGGAATAAATTCTCGAATGCCACAAGAGTGGATTTTCCGCCTCTCTGTCCAACCGGAGGCAGCAG